GTAAAATTCAATGCTGACCTTAATTCTTATTGTTAACTAGTCGTTGGCATCATTGTTGTGTCAAAGGATAATAAAGAAGTGTATATGAGTTAAATATAAAATAAATACTTTACTTGTTATTAATTAGTTTTAACTCAATATAAAATATATGTTAAAATTGATGTGCAAATTTTAAAAAAAATTACTTTACTGAGTACCAGTTAATTTAAAATAAATACAAATCTTTTATTAAAACTTTCGTATCAAAATTTTACAACCATGTAGTTTATATTATTTGTTTGGATATTTCTAATGCAAGGACACTAGATTTTCCTCTTCTTTTTTTTTCTTTTTTTTTCTTTTTTTTGTAAATATAGAACCTAAAATTCTTCTCATTTATGTTACATACTAATTCTTGCATCTCAGTAAAAAAAAAAAAAAAAACAAATAGAATTGCTAATACTTAGGATTGTAAGATTTCAAAATCTTTGTTGTGAATTATTTTGTTTCCCAATTAAGCGTTTTCATATATTATTGTTGCCACATGCTCCTACATCTAAACAAAAATTGTGGAAATGCATAAATTGGGAATCTGCTTTTGAACTTGTGTCTCGTTGACGGGACCCTTGTAAGTTGTGACACCGGAGACCGGAGTGCTTCTCAATGTCCTCATACTTACTACTGCTTTTTCTCGGCAAAAGGTACCCGTTTACCCCTTAACTTTTCGATTTTGAAGGTTTTTACCCTTCATATTATAATACATGAATTTTTACCCTTAATATTTTCAAATTTGAGAAAATGAGGCAAAATTTAACGTCAAACGATCACGTGCTACACGTGCATCGTTATTTCCGTTAGAAATTTACATGTCAACACCAATTTAAATATTTTTTAACATGTCAGCAAATCCACCTCGGATTCTTTCCAACAAATTTTTTTTTTTTGTTCCTCCCTTTCCTCTTTTCCTTTCTCTTTCTTCAACCCCTGCAAATCCAAACATCTCAACTAATCTCTACCTTTCTGGCTTCATCATCATCATCAAATAACAAAACAAAAATCCAGACCACAAACCATAGCAAGATTAAAACATAATATAAATCAACAACATCAAATCAAGCCAAAAACACCAACCATCTTTCCCTCATGAGTTTTCGATTCAATAACAAACACCCAACAAACAAACACAAAACCCATACAAAACTCACTAAACACAAGAGCAAGATCTGTTAAAAACCCAGATAGAATATACTAAAGCACAAGAATGATAGAATATACTGAACCCAGCGCTGGGTTCCTTGGAACCCCAGCGACTGGGTTCTTAGGAACCCATCGGAACCCATCGTTGGGTTCCACGATGGGTTCCTAGGAACCCAGTCACTGGGTTCCAAGGAATGGGTTCCTTGGAACCCCAGCGACTGGGTTCTTAGGAACCCATCGTTGGGTTCCACGATGGGTTCCTAGGAACCCAGTTCCTTGGAACCAGTGACTGGGTTCCTAGGAACCCAGTCGCTGGGGTTCCTTGGAACCAGTGACTGGGGTTCCTTGGAACCAGTGATTGGGTTCCTAGGAACCCAGTCACTGGGTTCCAAGGAACCCATCGTTGGGTTCCACTGGGTTCGAAGGAACCCAAAAATTAAAAAGGTTTTTTTTTGTTTTGTTAATCGATGATGATGAAGCCAGAAAGGTAGAGATTAGTTGAGATGTTGGGATTTGCAGGGTTGAAGAAAGAGAAAGGAAAAGAGGAAAGGGAGGAACAAAAAAAAAAAATTTGTTAGGAAGAATCGAGGTGGATTTGCTGACATGTTAAAAAATATTTAAATTGGTGCTGACATGTAAATTTCTAACGGAAATAACGATGCACGTGTAGCACGTGATCGTTTGACGTTAAATTTTGCCTTATTTTCTCAAATTTGAAAATATTAAGGGTAAAAATTCATGTATTATAATATGAAGGGTAAAAACCCTCAAAATCGAAAAGTTAAGGGGTAAACGGGTACCTTTTACCCAACAATCTAACATAAAATTAATATAAAGTGATTAAAATCGATTTTAATCATTTCGCTTTTAAAAATCATAAATCTATAAAAATAAATTCCCATCATTTAGTCCGTAATGTGTCATAAATTCGTGAGAAGTATTGAAAACTAAAACCCTAACACAAGTTATTGAAATCAAAGGGCAAAAAAATCTGATCTTTTGCAATGCATTAATTTCAAAAAAGGCGATCAAAGTTAATTAAATCCTTCCCTTTCCTTCCCTTTTCCTCATATAGGCAAACAACTACATTAAAAGAAAAAATAAAGGAAAAGATACCTCTCTTTTATTTTTTATTTTTTTTTGATAATCAGATAGAGATTATTTTTCTCTTTCTTTTTCCTCTTTTTCATTTTCCTCAACCTAAATAAATAGGCTAAATATAAATATTAAAAAAAAAGTTATTATAGAAGCATATATAATAGGTGAGTCACTCCTTATGCCACATTATTGTAAGTTATATTATTTTACTCAACCCATTAACAAAGATTATAAAAAAAA